AATCTTATTGTAGACTTAGTAAGACATCCTTGGATGCCTCACTATGGTGATTCATCGTTATATAGCAGATCTGGTCTTTTCCCGAAGTTAATATCTTGGATTTCTTAAGTGCTCTGTTCAATTACTTTTTTGTAAATTATATACTGTATTTAGTAAATCATTAGTGTCTTCCTCTTAATAATTCTTAATTCTCAGCCAGTGTCCGTTCTTTTCCTATTTTCCTTTCTTCATCAATATTGTCTGAACTGTGAATTTTAGCAAATGATTTTGTCATCACATCAGCCTTCTCTTCATTTCTAATTGCTTTTATTTCTCCATCACCCAGGATTGCATCCCCATGTTCTCTTTTAATCCCATTAATTTTCCTTATCATTGACCATACCTGATTTATTTTAGTCTGTCCTCCCAATGAATTACAAATATTCCTCCACAAATGTGTCTTTGCATTTTTTATCATTCTTCTCAAATTACCCTGTAACCTTTTATACTCAATAGGATTCTGAGTGCTATGATTTCTTTTCAACATTTTGAAAGCTTCATTTCAAGACTTAATGTCTACATCACATTTCTTTCTCCATCACAATAAGATCTTCTTCTTGGTCTTACCTCCTTTCTTCTTTATTAATTGATTAGTTGCTTCCAAAATGGCACAACACAGATAAATGTAAATCATCAGCATCAACACGTAAATCAGCTCTTTGTAACTGCTGTTCACTTATGGGCCTAAATGATTCCCAGTCAGTGCTACTGAAATTCCACCTCTCTACTGCTCCTATTTTATACTCTTCCACATCAAATTTATTTCTGTCATTATAGGATAGTGATCACTGCCTATTGTGTTACTTTCTGTCAAGAGATGTATTCTAAAGACACTTCTTCAGCTGAGAGTCAGAGAGTGGAGACACACACGCTGCAGTTTTTACTTGCAAAGGCGGTCACAGAGCGCTCATACCCGAGAGTGGGGGCTCAGGGACTCGCGCTCTGCCACTGCTCTGGTCTTTATTTATATACAAAGGTAATACAACAGTGAATACAATGAATACACTTTTAGGAATGTTATGCGTATGTGAGTGTGTGTGTGTGTGTGTGTGTGTTTGAGTGTGTGTGAGCGGGGAAGCAACTCCTCTTCCTGGTACGAGTGAAACTGCTTGTTCAGCTCTTATTATCGCTGTGGGAAGAAACTGATAAAAGAGAACAGAACAAGTCTCTGTAGTGAACAACAGTCTAAGTCATCAAAAGGTCATCATGCAGTATTCTATCATATGTAAACTTATATCATTAAAAGCTCATACTGACTACTAAGTACAATTCTCCATTGACATTCCCTCCTGTTGTCATGTATAACTTTTAGTGAGATATCAGTATGTAACATCTTGTTGTACATTTTCTGTCACATCGTCATTAATCACACAAAGTCTTCATGTTCCAACAGGTCGGGGTCATCATCATCATCATTTGTCACGGCTATGCATGCAGCAACAGTGGAAACAATTATGTGGTTAATCATGAGTTTTAGACATGGCAGTATACATGTTACAAAAACACAAAATAAAAGTAAAAATACTCCAACTACAATGAGTAGTCTTTTTAGCACCTGTAGCCAGGAGCCAGTGTAAAGCCAAGAAAACCAGTCACTTGTATCACTTACATAGTCCTGATTTTGGGCCTGTTGGATCTGTCTCAAGGTGTTCAGGGCGTCAGTCATGTTTGATGAGTGTACACTGTCTGGTATGTAAGTGCAGCAGGTGTTGTTGAAGAGGACGCAAAGTCCCACTTTCTCTGCTAGTATCATGTCCAGAGCTACTCGATGTTGCATCACTGCAATCCGAAATGCATCAATTTCCTGGTTCTGTTGTTCGTTGATCTTACACGAAGCGTTCAAGAAGAGTCCAAAACGGTAGTCCAGAGTTTCAATCCTCAGCATGTTTTTTTCCAGTTCCCACCCAGGGGAACAATGAATGGAGTACTTTCTGTCCGGTAGTCCATAATTTGAATTCCTTGGGTACGTCGCTCCCCCATATTGGGTCATGTGGCTGAATTTTGGGGAACGTTGATCTTCTTTTCCAGCATGCTGTAGAAGTGGTGTTTACTGCGGTCAGCCTGAAAGTGTGGTCTGACAGGAATATGGGAGCACATGTTCCTGTCCAGCCTGGGGGCAGTATGAAATATGCCTATTGTCCACATAGCCAGGCAATTCCTTGCACCCAGTACGTGCCATTAGATGGTCCAGTCGTGTTCACAGGGGCACCTTCTCCTCCTTCAGCGGTCTGGTTGCAGTTAGTGGTGTTTCCAAGCGGCCTGTTACCTTTGCTTTGTTTATAGCACATGGAGTGGTTCTTCCCTGGGGTTTGGTCCAAGAACACTGGGAAGTGTATTCCGGTTTGTCACATTGAAGTTGATCCAGAAGTTGATTTTTTCAAATCTAGTATCAATCAACTAATTTGCATATCAGCTCATAATGCGCTAAGTTGACAGGTCAATGGAAATGCACGTTCAAAATGTTATCACAAAAGAGAATTTCCTTCATACAGTAAACTACTTGTGCTGCATCAATCAAACAGAAAGCATCTCACAATTTATTGTATTACCAAATAAATGTATTGTCTGATTACTGCTTGGTCATACCAGACTCTCTCTGTCTTTATTTTTTCTTCTCTGTTTTCACAAACGTTTCACCTATTGTCGAGCTGGAGAGTTAAATGTCAACAGTGGATAAATTCAGCATTTGATAACAAAACTCTGTTAAGTTTTTCCTGCTTTAACACCAATGGGAGATACAGGCGCATGTATAGTGTGTGCTATAGTGTAAGCTGTTCTTCATTGCATGTATGTGTGTTAGTACGCTTGCATGCAGGGCCTGTGGGCCTGTCTCACCCAAAGGGGCATTTTCTTAACAGCTGCCTTTCTCTTGCGTGTGTTAAGAAAGGCAAATGTGCTTGTAGCAGTTGTGAGATTATTATGCTGTTATATGTTACATTATACCTGTAATCAAAATGAGTATTGATACTGCTGTAGGCCACATCATACTTCTTGTGTAATCAGTATGTAGTTTTAGTTTGCATCATACTTAAAAGAATGTGAAAATCATTAGATGTATTAGATAGGTTTGTATCATCCTATGCTGCTGATTTTCTGTGAGTGAGTTTCACTGTTTCATGACATTTCATATTGCTAAGCTATGAAGAGAATATTGTGTGCAGAGAGTCAGGGCCTTGCTTTTCTGATAGTAGAGACAACAGAGCACATTGCACGGGAGCTCCACCTCCACCTTTTGTTGAAAGCAGAAAAACAGGGAGCCAAGGTCATAACTCAGGCTCACTGACAGTTAGAAAGAATGTGAATGCTTAGTTTGTGGCTGTGGCACATTTTGTATGGCTTCTTTTCTTTTGTTTGGTAGCTTTTTGCCTTCACCTGAGAGGGTGTGCCCTAAGTATATGCCTTCAGGTCTCCATAATTAGAGTTTATTTAAAGATACCTTATGGCCTTGCTCAGCCAAGTGACGTAACACAGCCATGGTATTTTGCTTACACCCTTCCTCTGTGTGGCCAGTCACTAAAATGTCATCTACGTAGAGTAGAAACTGTCTCTGCCCCTCAAAAGTGAAGCCAAACAGGTGTTGTGAGTCAGGGTTTAAAGGCACTGAGAAAAAAGCGTTTGATAAGTCTATCACTGAGAACCATTGTTTATTTGGAGTGACTTGATTCAGTAGTGTGAGGATTTGCTACTACTGGTGGCATAATTTCAGTGATTTCATTTATTGCACGCAGATCATGCACTAGACAGTATTTTGCAGTATTAGCTTTCTTCACCACTTAAACAACACATCTCCTCTTTTTGTTTGTTTTATTTATTTATTTTAAATTCTCCTTTCTCAAAAACAGAAAATGAAATCGTAGTTGTTCTTGGCTGAGAGACACAAGACCCCCTTTTTTTTCCTTTTTTTTCAAGACAAGAAACTAAGTTTTAACTTTTCTGCGTTATCACCTAAAACAAAGCAGACAACCCAGCTCTCAGCTGGCTCTGAACTTATCATCATCAAGGTCGCATGGTGAGAGCTACTTCAGAAGTCAGAAAAGCAGAAAAGAAAGTTTTGAAAGAGAAAGTATACTGTAGAGGTCTGTGTAAAGTTATTCTTCCAAGTATTTTTTCTTCTGTTTTAACAATGTTCTACTTTGAGTAAAGAAAACTGAAGGCATTAAAATATTGTAAATATTTTATATTTGACTGATTTACAGCAGCTGTGCACAGTCAAGCAGCTAAAAAGTCAATTTGCAGTCTACACTCACAGCAAACTGTCTCTGTTGGCTAAAGTTTACCAGTTGTGATTCCAACTTTTCATAAACGGCTATTTTATGGAATTCATGGTGAGACCAGCTTTTGTCCATGTGCAGAAAATTATGAGATGGAAACAATAAATAATAAATTTTAAAATACTTTTATTATGGATATCTTTTGAAATAAATGAGAACATGTGCAAACATCAGATATGGTTATCCAACTCTGAACTTTTAATCTATAAACACAGATTTTGATCAGATCACTTTGTATTTATTTGTTGTTTATTTTATATTGCACTATTTTTTTTCTTTATCCTGCTGCTGTAACAAACCAATTTCCCTTGTGGATCAATACAGTATCTATCTATGAAACCTTATTATCTGATAGCTAAGCTTTCTTTGCGGCCCATTACACAATCAAAACAATCAGCAGCAGACAGAGTTCATCTCAAAGCTAAAGATGACACTGACCAAAGGTTATTCTCTAGGCTGCAATTTAGCACTAATGTGAAGTAATGTGTTCACTTCAATCAGTAACTAAATGTCTGGTGCCTTAACTCTGGAGTTAATGGAAAGTTATAGTGCTAAGTGCATGTTGAAGGCCTCATGACAGTACTTGACATATTAAAACATGTAACATGTAAAATATGTTTTTAGTCTTGAATAAGTTGACTTTAATGACCTCTTGTGGCCACACTTGTATTTATCACTGATGTATTTTCAGAGCAGGATGCTTCCACAGATAGATGTGCTCTCCCTTTCTCCAGTCAAAGTCTTCAGTATTTTGATTTTCCATCTTCTAATACACTTAAATCGAGGTAAGTTTGATGTTACATGCATAATATTTTTTTTATTACAGTGCATATAAACAAAATAGCAAATATGTTACATTTGGTACAAACTGTAGTTTATAATTTGTTTTTTATAATTTGTTGCCTGCCTGCAAGTGTTTATTTAATTCTTTAGTGAAACATGTTTTTAATATTTTTATCTTCATCAAAATTTTTAAAACAAGAAAGAAAAATAATGCTCTATGCTGAGAAGAACCTCATAGGGAGCTGTGCTTTTGATTTTTACTCCGTCGCATGGGATGAGAGCACCGATGCTACAGACGCTGCACAGCTGCTCATTTTTTTGCGGGGAGTGGACGAGAGCACGAGCGCTTTAGGTGAGTAAAAAATATATTCCACAGTACCCGTGTGTTAATGTGCAGGTACACATGCTTCAAATATCAATAATGCACATCAATTCTGTCACTACCCTGCTTTTTCGCATCACTTTCTTAAATGCTTTTTTTTATTGTTAACACACAGAGTACACACCGCTGTGCACTGCCCACGCACACGCAAAGTCAGCTGATCTCACCTGATGCAGATTTGCTCCTTGATCAAGTGACATTTGTCTGGATTTTTGGCACGAGTGGCGTACGATCAGCACCGCAGCTGAATGGCCTGATTTACACACCCCAGCGCAGCTGATACTCACCAGAATAATTTACTAAAATTATGAACTCCTGTTATAAAGTCCAGTTCAGTCTGTTAGTGTTGATAACCGTTTCAAACGAACGTTAATAGGTGTGTTGCTAAGCCTAATAACTTAAATAATCAACCTGAAATGTACCCGTCCCATTTTCCCCTTTATTGTTTTTTCTCTGTGCTGTAAATCTTCAGTCTAAGAAGAAATCTGAGGCTGCTGTTCTGAGACTGAGCTAACAAAGCTTTTTCTGAATAAATCAATAAAGATCCATTTATGAAAAGCTGTGATGAAGGCAGTTTTGTCTTTAATCATATTCAAAAATATACCATATTTGACCACTTTTAAGGGATTTTTCTAACTTTAATACACTAAAGTTAAGGTCATATACCTAATTTCTAGTAAGTGGCCCAGCCCCTCCTATATTTTTAGGTATGTGGCCCTCAGTGAAAAAAGTTTGGACAATCCTGCTCTACAGCCTACAGAGTTTTATCAGAATACAAAACATTTTAGAGCTGTTTAGAGACAAAATGAAATGCAAATACTACCAAAAACATGAGCTCCTTGTTGACAGTAATAACAAACTGCTGAGCCATTTGCACAGGATCTGAACTGATCTGAAGCAGTATGCAATCAAGGTCAACTGTCTCTGTGTTCATCATGCTCAGTGTTTATCTGATAGACCAAGGAATGTATGATTACATGGTACAATGAACGTTAGAAACTGATCCAACCGGAATGTCTGGTTTGCAGTGACTCATTAATACTGAGTTTTTGTTTCCTGCTCGGCTCCAGTGACTCGTTTCACTTTGACAGTTTGGATCAGTGTGTCGAAGTCTGGGGTCTATCTGTGGTAAGTCTTCTTTTGTTTGTTTGTTTTGTTTTGGGGTTGTTTTTGAGTCAGAGAACAAACAAAAAAAAAGCTTATAACAAAACACTACTATTTGTGGTAAAAAAAAAAAAGAAAGGAATATTTTCTACATGTTACTGAATAAACTCTGAATAAAGTCAGACTGCTGTTTCTTTGTCAAACTGTAAGAAACATACTAGATGACAAATGTCTGTCAGTTGTTAAAAGCTCCCACAAAGCTCCAAATGTAGCAGCAAAGTGTGAGAAAAGCTGTATTTATGTTTATAAAGAACTGTTCTTGGAGTCAGAGACCTGCACTTAAAGCAGGACTTTGTCTCATCGAGGTGACTTATTAAAAGAAACTCTGAGCTTTCAGTTTTAGTCATGTGCTTAGGTTACACTGCTATGGAGCAGGTTCATTTCAAAATAAAAGGTCATAGTCTAAGCCAGGGGTAGGCAACCTTTCTGATGAACAAATGTAATTGTATAAAGTTGTTCTATATAGTGTGTAACTGTTAATACAGAGTGTTATTAAATTGATTGCTAATGCAATCGGCACATTGACTTGTTTTTTTGAATTGAATTTTTATTTATTTCATTTTAAACTTCAATAACAGAACTTAAAGAAAAATACATAAATAAATAATTTAAAAAAGAAACAAACAAAACAACAACAACAACGAAAAAACAAACAACCCCCCCCCCCAAAAAAAGAAACCAAAAAAACAAAAACACCCCAATCCCCACACCACCTCTCTGTCATTACTCCACTGTTCTTCAAGTTACATAAAGCCAGCTTGTAAAGGGGGACCAAATACAATCATATTGATGCAATTTGTCTAATAAACTATAAGTCACTTCATAGGGAGGGGGGTTCTTTTTCCACCAATGTCTTAGCAGGACCCATTTGGCCGTAGTAAGATGGCACATTGACTTCTGAGGAAATTTTAAATGGCACTCATCATCAGAAAGGTTGCCTACCCCTGTTGTAGATGCAAGCTGCTATTCATATTTTAGGTCACCAGATGTCACTAAAGAGGACTGTTTAGAAAAGCTTTGAGTAATGAACTGTTTTTCAATAAAAGCTTCAGAAAGTTTTATTTGGTCATTGCTAACCCTGAGTCTCTTATCAGTGTGCATTCAGTTTTCTACTGCCACCTTCAGTATGATAGCTGACACCTACCATGTGAATGCTTCCCTCTTTTTGAACACTGCAAAGACAGATATGGTTTCATCTTGATTATTTTATAACAGGCTCAAAGTTCAGCATTTGACACACTGGACAACTGATCTAACCAGAATCAACAATGGATGTGAGCACATATGAGGGATTTGGAGTTGATAAGCCAAAGTAAGACCTTCAGGTTAATGATTTTCAAACTTCACCCTTGTAGTCTCACACAACTTTCCACAGGTAATTCTCTTTCAAATTGTCTATTTATAAGTTCTACATGCTTTTCTGGTGTCTTGTTATGAAGTCTGATTATAGTATAATTTATTTCACTGACATAAATAAATCTGTGTAAATGAAATTAAACATTTTACAAATGAATGACAAAGGTTTAAAATATTTGATGTGAAAGCAGAAAAAAAAGTTTTGAAAGTGAAAGTACACTGTAGAGGTCTGGGCAAAGTTATTCTTCCAAGTATTTTTTCTTCTGTTTTTACAATGTTCTACTTTGTATAAAGAAAACTAAAGGCATTAAAACACTGTAAATATTATATATTTGAGTGATTTACAACATTTGTTTACAGTCAGACAGCTAGAAAGTCACTTTTCAGTCTGCACTCACACCAAACTGTACTTTATTAGTTGTGATTCCAATTTTTCATAAACAGCCAATTTATGGATTTTATGGTGAGACCAGCTGTTGTTCCTGTGAAGACAATTATGAGATGGAAAACAATAAATGATACATTTTAAAATACTTTAATTATGGGATGTCTTTGGAAATAAAGGAGAACATGTGCAAACATCAGATATGGTTATCCAATTCTGAACTTGTAATCTATAAACACAGATTTTGATCCGATCACTTTGTATTTATTTGTTGTTTATTTTATATTGCACTATTTTTATTCTTTATCCTGCTGATGTAACAGAACAATTTCCCTTGTGGATCAATAATGTACCTATCTATTTAAAAGAGATGATCTGATGGCTAAGCTTTCCCTGCGGCCCATTACACAATCAAAACAATAAGCAGCAGAGTTCACCTCAAAGATAACTGACCAAAAGTTCTCTAGGCTGCAATTTAGCAATAATGTAAAGTAATGTGTTCACTTTTATCAATAACAAAATGTCTGGTGCTTTAAATCTGGAGTTAATTGACAGCAATAGTGCTAAGATGATGACCTCATGACAGTAGTTAACATATTAAAACATGTAACATGTAAAATATGTGTTCAATCGTGAATAAGTTGATTTTAGTTATGAAATTGACAAATTCTTATTATTACAATAACTTCTTGCAACCACACATGTGTGTATCACTGATGTATTTTCAGAGCAGGATGCTTCAACAGATAGATGTGCTCTCCCTTTCTCCAGTCAAAGTCTTCAGTATTTTGATTTTCCATCTTCTAATACACTTAAATAGAGGTAAGTTTGATGTTACATGCATAATATTTTTTTTATTACAGTGCATATAAAGAAAATAGCAAATATGTAACATTTGGTACAAACTGCAGTTTATAATTTGATTTTTGTAATTTGTTGCCTGCCTGCAAGTGTTTATTTAATTCTTTAGTGAAACATCTTTTTTTAAACATTTTTATCTTCATCAATTTTTTTAAAAAGTGAAAGAAAAATAATGCTCTATGCTGAGTGTCATCTTTAACTATATATATGCATTCAAACTGGCTGCAGAAGTTAATGGGCACGTCTTTCTTTCTTTCTTTGTTTTGTCTCCTGTCTACAGCGGAGTCTGAGGTGGTTGGTCCACATCAGCCAGTGGTTGCATTAGTTGACGATGATGTTATTTTACCATGTCACGTGGAGCCTGCAGAGGATGT